AGTAATTAAAAATCACACCCTTTCTCTTAATAACCTAACCAGCATGATACAATCAGGTTGTGCCAACTCTTTAATCTAATTGACTAATTACAGATTTTAATTTAGTCAGTTACTGAACAACTGTTGACAATTTGTTTTCATTAGGGACAGAACAGGATAAATATTTAGGCTCCCCAGTCAAAGACTAAGACATAAGCTCTGGGCTCTGACCTCCAGTTTCACGCCGGCGCCTTCTCCATCGGCATCACCCATGGAAAGGTGCTGCTCTGAACCACCCCGATCCCACCACTGCGCAGTGGGAAGCACAGCGGCAGAGGTTGCCTTGTCCCAATAGCCAATATTGTTTAAAACAGAGCATTAAACCAACCCAGCTTTGCACAGCACCGTGGTAAAAGGGGGGTTTAAGGGATGCTCAGGCTCGTGGGCAGGATGCGCACACCAGTACCTGGAGCTGGGAGGGAAGCTGAGCCCAGTGAGCTGCTGGGAGAAGGAATTTGTGTATGTGTTTTGTGTATTTCTTTATAGTGATGTGGAGCCTTGCCGCTGCTCCTGGCAGCCTGCCACTCCCGAAGGAAAACTCCTCTCTTTGGTTATCTACCAGGGAGCCCTGTCCCTGCAGAGCGGGGCTGGATAGAGCCCAGATGGAATGCAATCCCACATGGAGATGGGATGAAGCTGCATGTTCTGCCATGCCCAGGGCTCAGGTAATATTCGTGGGGGCTCCCATGGACCACACAAAGCTGTTCCCATCCCCTGTCCTTGCGCTGTGCCAAACCTACCCCAAAACCACCTGCTCTTCTGTGCAATGCGTTTCTAATGCATGTGCTGCAAAGGGCATATGGCAGAAGAACTCATGGACCACCACCACCAGAGAAGAACTCATGGACCACCACCGTCACCACAGAAGCATTCATGGACCACCACCAGCATCACGCTTGCTGGTCCCACTCACACCCTATGCAGCCATGGGTGCCTACAGCAAGAGTCTCACAGCCTTTGCTGGTCCTGGAGAGGGAAGACAGCCTGGTACAGGAGAGGTGACAGTCACCTCGTCGCCCAGGTGCCACCAACATCATGAGGTGGCCACACAGACACCAAGGAGCAGAAGATGCTCTGACAACAGGGAGATGTCTCTCTGAAGCCTGGGGACACTCAGACATCAGTGCCAGGATGGGGCACCTGTCCTGCATCCATCCAGGTCACAATGGACACATCCATCAGAAAAGGACCATTTTCCACACCTCACCTCCAAAGCGTGCTAGGAGAACACTTACAGCAGTGCAATGACTGGATTTGGGGTTCAAACTCCAGCGCCTAGGTGACACTCTCAGCCAGTACCTCCAACAGGCCAAAACCCTTCCAGATCACTGGGTTTCATCTCATCCCCCACCAAGCATGCTAATGCAAACAAGCCCATATGTTATGTCCATCCATCTCCAGAGGCTTCAGAAACCTCTTCAATAAGACCTCAGTCCAAGAGGAACTGTTTCAGATGTGGGGGGAACGCAAGAACCTTGCCTGTCCCCAACCAGGATGGAAGGACACGAGCCCCAAGCACACCACCTTCTCCCAGAGCGGCAGCGAGCACCGCCACTGCAGCAGAGCATCCTTCCAGACCCAAGTTAGAAAGAACTGCAGCAGCTTTCCAAAGTTAAAACAATAAAATCAATACTTTACATTAATGGCAAGCTGAAGCCACCACTCCATACATCTTACACTGCAAAAACAGCATCTCAAGTGCTCCCAAGTGTGGGTCCTTCTCAGGGGAAAAAGCAGAGGAGGGGAAGGATGCAGTCAAAGTCTCCAGAAGCCAAAGGCTACCCTGATTTTTCTCCCCTGCACACTGACACTCGGAGCTGGCCGCGCAGGCAGAGCAATACCACAAAAAGTATGTAGCAACAGTCAACTAGATTTAAGTTCATTTTCTATAGCTCGAGGCCAAAATCGACTGAAGTGGTTCTGGTGATCAAGTTTTCTGCAATTCCCCTTTCTGTGTATTAGCTCTTTGACAGAAATTCACTGCGGTATTTAAACTGGCAGTCATCACCGCTAACTCAAATTGTATTGGCTTTCATGGCGTTGAAATGCTCAACTGCGACCAGCCATCGGCCAATTCCCAGATAACGCCGCGGCTGAAATCCCCTGTCATGCTGAGCGATCCCGTTGCAAGCTCGCCGGCTCCAGGAGCGTGCCGGAACACCGGCACTCTCACCATGGGGCTTTGCCCAGTGTAGGAGCACAAGTCAATGGCTACGGGTTGAGTTTTAGGAGTTGATGGTGGTTTTAACTTGGATAAACTCTTTGGATACTGGTGGGAGAAGCTGATTAATAACCCTCCAGACAGCTCAACTTGTCAGCTGCATTAAGACTCGCGGCCGTGCTGGAGATGGAAGGAAAAGAGAAGCACGGTTGTTCCTCATGCCTGCTCCAGGTGGATCCCTGCTTCCATCACCCCTTTCCAACAAGTCCCAGCAGCCTTTTGTCCCAGCTTAAGAGAAAAACCTCAGGGGAAAGGTAAAACCCAATATCCCTAAGCCGCTGCAAGAGCCCATGGCTTTCAAGGGTCTCCCAAAAAAGAAGGGTGGGATTTTTTCTTCTGCTTTTAATCTTGCCAAGCAGTTAAATATTAAAAACTGGAGGGGAAGCTGGCAATTTGTCCTGCTGTTCCTAACAGTTTTCATACGGTTGCACTGGGAGATGAAGTGGAAGTGATGCAGCATGCAAATCCCACTGTTAGCACCCCACTAACAAGGCGCACCATCCGCTTCCCGAAGATGTGTCTCCCAAGCCAGCACCCCTGTGGCTATGACAAGCCCTGGTGCTACCACACTGCTCCTGGACCATCCCTCTGTTTTGCCCTTCAAGGAGCATGGTAAATACATCATCTTTGGGTAAATAAAACCATACTTTGGGCAAAACCCAAGCTGGCTATGCAAGAGCTTGCCCACCGTTGGCCAAGTGCAAACAGAATGTCCTACCAATCTGGGGCAAGACTTGTACTGGGATACTTTGAACCACAAACACCATATAAAGCAATTCATGACTTACTGGTCCAGCCCCACTTGGGGCTTGGACCCTGCTTCAGATGTCACTCACTGCTGATGGGTTGCATCCCAGCTCCAGGACCCATCTGCAAGGCTGGCCATTGTGTTTACAGATACCAGGATCCTGCCCTAGCATGGAGACCGGTGAGAAACAAGGCGCTATTCACACTGCCCTGGTTATCATTGCGTTCTTTGGTCAATATTTAAGTTTTGGCTGGGCAGGTCCCTCGCCCTGTAAAGCACACGCTGCGCTGGGAAAACACCGCTCCTCACAGCGGGATTGTGCCATGAGCATCCGCCACCGGCCACGCCAGGGAGAAGCACAACCCCTGCTTGGAGGGCGAAACATGCCCCAGGAAACCAAACCAGTGCCACAAGCCAAAGCAAAGGGGAGTGAAGATCTTCTTTCAAGTCCTCGTGGTAAAACCCGACAGGTGAAGGCACTTGGGGCTGTTACAAAACTGCGCTACACCGAGAATTACAACCAAGCGGGATTGTGTCTATTTACAGTAAGCTTAAAGCAACGTGTATTAAAGAAGTTTATGTGAATCATCTAATGCACTCAGGCCCATTGTTAGAATTATTACCAAGCTAAAAAAAAGATTAATTTCTCTAAATACACTAAATCCTCAGACACGATGAGGAGACTGCTGTGAACAGAACATTACCACATCTTGGTTATTAATGCCGTCTTCACCTGCGGCTTTGCCACCCAAAGATCTACCTTTGCCTTGCTCCTGATGAGCCTCCTGTCCCAACCAAGCTCAAAAAAAAAACCCAAACAGACCAGAATCTGGCCCCAAACACCCAGAAGCACGCAGCTGATCACAGTGAGCCAAGCACTGGTTGTCAGCCCTGACCCTCAGTTCAGGAGTTCACCATCTTAATCCAGCCCAGTAAAAACAAATGATGCAGAGAGCAGCCATGGGGAGGGATGGACAGATGGACAGCCCCCATCTAACAAACAGCCAGACCCGCTTCCCACATGCTCCAATGGGATGGACACCTCCCCACCTACAAGGCTCTCCAGCAGCCTGGCACTGCCCATGCCCCAGGGCGACAACCACATCCAGTGCCAGCACACGGAGGACCCCAAGGCACTCACCCAGCGCTACTTGCCGGCAAAGCCTCGTACATCCCAACCCAGGCATGTCGAGGCAACGAGAAACTTGGGAAGGGAGGGAAAAATGGTTTCCATACCATAGGCTCCCAGGAGCAGACAAAACCAGCTCCTGCTACAGGGTTTAAACTCACTTGACTAGGGTCCAAGCAAGCAGCCAGGTGACTAATCCTTTGATGCAAATTCCTCCCGACGTGTGCGGGATGGGAGCAGGCAGACAACCCATCGCCCACCGGAGCCAACATGCCATGCACCCTCACCAAAGGTGCGTCTTTGGGAGGCACCTCAACCCCAGGATCCCCACCCCTGGGTCACGCTAACACCTTACAGAGAACAACCCAAAATACTGATGCAGGAGATGCCCACCATCAACCAAAGGGGGGGCTGCAACACCATCTTCAACAAGCAAACACCATGCTGGTCTCAAGCGGGGACTCAGACAACCACGGATGCCTCCAGCCATTCCAAAGGCAAGGAGATACCAAGTGGGGCATTCAACAGTGTTTGGGGGAATCTCCACCCTCCTCGCCACCCCAACCGAGGCATCCTCAGCACGAAATCTCTCACCATCGACCCTCTAGCAAACGCTTTGTTGTCCATTGCCATGCAAAAGCGCTTCGTTCTACCAGTAGCCCGAATGCCTTTAAGTGCTTAAGATAAGTATCTGGGCTAATTTACATAATTGCAACGTTATGAAATACTGTTCAGTCAAACCAGAACGTTGTCGGTTCATAAAAACCCACCCTCGGTCTGTTCCACGCCGGCTCCGGGTGAGCGGAGGAGCCGGAGCTCCTCAACGCCGTCATTACCGCGAGGATTAGAAACTTGTTACTCACGTAGTCATGAAAGGCTTTCGCTTCACTCGAATGCTCACAAGTGTCTCGCCTTTCGGGAGCTGCGCAGTAAAGGTCCCAAAACACGCTGCGTGGTGGAGAGAGGCAAACACAGGCAGGCAGTTACTCATCGGGGCTCACGCACCGGCACCGGGGGTCATTGGAGGTGAGCTGCTTCCCACCCCGGTGGGCCCATGGGAGGGGACCTCAGGCTGTGCATCCGAGCTCGGCACCACTTGGATCTCTGGAAGCGCTGCGGCCACCAGGATGGGTGTTTTAAGAGGCAAAAGTGGCCTTCGAGGGGTAACAACCACAGCACCTTAACGGCTTCTCCACCCACCACAGGCACCCCAAAGGCCCCAACACAACTTGGGCTCTCCAGGCGCGTCCAGCAGCCCTCCAGCCACCGAGCAGGAGGCTTTAGCTCCAGCCTGCCGCTTCCCAGCCCAACGCTCCCGGGGGTGTCCGGGGCGCTTCGGGGCTCGGCTTGCTGCTGACTCACGCCTATCACCGTGGCTTCACCCCCCACCGCGAGGGCTGCGCACCCCCGACGGTGCCCCCAGCTTAGACGGTCCCGTCACCGTCCCCCCTTGGTACTTACCACCACCAGGAGTGCAGGAAGCCGGGGGGCTCGCCCAGCGTGATGTTCTTCTCCCACCGGATCTGCGGGCGAGAGGAAGACGGGTTGGAGGGGGGGGGGGGGTGGGTGGAAAGGAGGGAATAGAGGGGTGGGGGGGTTTAGGGGTGGTCACGGGTGGGCGTGGGCCCCCACGCTCGGCGACCCCCCGGCGCCGCCGCCGCCCCGCGCAAGATGGAGGGCGGGCGTGCGTGCGGCGGCGCACAAAGGGCGCGGGGGGCGGCGGGGCTCACCTCGGACAGGAAGGTCTGCGCAGACTTCTGGGCGCCGACGTGCAGCAGGTACTCGTAGACGTACAGCGCCAGCCTGCAACAGCCGAGCGGCGCCCGTCAGGGGGGCAGCAACGGGAAAGGGAAGGAGGAGCCCCCCCCCCCCCCGCCCGCCCCGCACAAAGCCGCCCTCCACCGCCGCCCCGCTTCCACCTCGCACCCCCCCCCCCCCCTTCCCCGCTCCTCCCGCCGCCGCCGCCGCTCTTACTTCTCCCGCGCCTGCCCGTCCGAGGGCACCGCCGAGCCCTTCCCTTTGGCGAACATGGTCCGCGCCGCGCAGGGGGTGGCGGCCGCCGCCGCTGCCGGGAGCCGCTGTGCCCGCCGCGGAGGGAGCGCCGGGGGCTGTCAGAGCGCGGGCCGCCACCGCGCCCCCATCGCCCCGCGCCCGCCGCCGCCGCTCGCTGCGCCCGCCGCGCCGCTGGCCGCGCACCCGAGCGAAGCCACGCCCCCTCACCGCCGACGGGCGCTCGCCTCCGCCAATCAGCGCCGGGAGAGGGCGGGGCCGAACCGAGCCACGCCCCGCTCCGGAGGCGGCGGGCGGCCTCCCGCGGCGGGGAAGGAGGGAGGGAGAGCGGCGGCGCGCGGTCCTAGCGCCCCTCCCCTGCTCGGCCCGCTGGCGGCGGGGCTGCCCTGGCGCCGTGCCGCGCTATGGCCCTTTAAGGCGCCGGGCCGCGGCGCGCAGCGCACGCTGATTGGTCGGCGCCGCGGAGACCTCGCAAGGGGGGGGCCTTGAAACCGCCCGCCGGGCGGGGAGGGAGGGAGGGATGTGAGGGGAGGAGAGGGGGGGAGCGCGTCGGTGGGGCCGGGCGGGAGGCGGGGGGAAGCGGGGACCGCCTCCGGCCCCGCGCTGCGGGCGGGTACCGCCGGGCCCTCGGCCTGGCTGTGGGGAGCCCTAAGGGGAGCCTGGGGCCGGGCTCCCCCCCCAGCTGCCAACTTGAGCGCCTCTGGTAACGGGGCGAGGCTTGCGGCGGGGCCTCGCTGCCTGCCTGTCTTCGAGGCCCTTAAAAACAACGGGGAAACGCGCCCCGTCGGGGCTCCTCTCGCCGGCGTGTCGGGCAAGGGCACCCCTGTGTTAGGAGGCTGGGCTCTGCACCCCTCATCCCACCGCGGGTGGGAATTCCCTGTGGGAATGTAGGAGCAAACTAACCCGGGCTCCCTGCTTTTAGTGACAGGTTACGCAGGACCAGATGTTGGAGCAGCACAAAAATAAGGGCTTCAAAGAGCTCTTCCCCTTGCCCCAGCCTTGCCTCTGTGTCCAAAACGGCGAACAGAAAGTGGCTGGGATGGAGGCTGTGTGCTGGGTAAGGCTGTGTGATCAGATAGGTGAGACTGAGAGGTTAAACACATTGAGCCTCATCCTGCCAACACTGAGGAGTCTGAACATGGCTTTATGCGCCCGGCATCCCTCCTGTAAGGGCAGAGAGGCCCCTGAAGGCGGTGTGGGGAGCCGTGGGGCGGAGGAGTGCCTCCTGGGGCTGTGCGTAGTGCTGCTGCGCCCCGTGGGAATGTTCCCGGCCGTAGGGACCTGCCTGAGCAGGGCCAAACTCGCTTTAAAGCACGGCTTAAAGCAAGCCGTGGTTGGAAAAGAGATCTCCTGGCAATGTGGTAGGTGGGGAAGGATCAAGACTTGGAGGCATCCTAGATCTTTGCTTTGGAAAGAGGAAAACTGGTGTTTCACACCAGGTTTGGTTTGCAGGGTGATGGTGGAGATGACAAGACAGGTGTTAAGAGCTATGCTCTTGTGCATGCCTCTGCAGCAGAGACCGGAGGGCCAGGCCAGACAAATCCCAGACTTTGTGTCTCCGGAGCCTTTGCATCCTGCTGCTGTGCTGATGGGCTCAAAAATAACTGGGAGCTCCCGTGGGATTGAGGCTATGGGATGAATCAGACCCTCCAGCAGCGCTAAATGTCCCTGGTTCAAAACAGTACTCTCACATTCTATACCCTCTGCACCAAGGTGGGAAGCATTAATGCTGCTGCCATGGTTGGTGCCATGCCCTCTGCAGCTAAAGGACCTCTCCTTGCGCAGGGTATTCCCTGCCGTGCTCCTCACTGGGAGCTTGTTTGCTTTGAAGTCGTTGATTTTCTGGGATAGGTGAGTGGACAAAACACAGCCACCTCCTCTCCCAGCCCCTGGGACATGAAGCTAGCCCAGGGAAACACGCTGGGAGCCGGGCTCTCCCATCTATAGGTGCCTTCATCAGTCTGCTTGCAGGTCACCAACCAGGAAGGGAGGACACCTCCGAGCTGCTCTGAGTAGAGACAGCCTGGGGGAGCTGGGAAGCTGCTTCATCCTCCCTCCTCTCCTCCAGACCAGCTCCAGTTCTTGGCTGTTGCTAGGGGAGATGGAGAAGAGCAGTTTGACGGAGAGCTTCCCATAAGTGAACCGAAGGGAAGTAGCAATACTGCCATCCCAGGGTGGCACAGCCCGACCTGCCACATGCCAAGTGTCAGCACAGTGAGGGTGGGAACTGCTGGCCCGGGTGAATCCACCGGCGACCTGATGATTAGAACAAATTACAAGCTGGTGCTTTGGACCAACTCAGCCCGGGTTCAGAAGGGAGGCTAATTTCATCTCATCACCACCGCAGAACGCAATTAAATGGCTCTGCAAAGTTCTAACGCAAGTCACGGCAGGAAACTCGGGGAGAGAAATAAATCCCCACACCCAGAGGCAGCCGCTCTGTCTAGCCGAGTCGCAGGAGGACATGATGTTGGCTACCGAGCACTCCCAAGCCTTGGAGGTCTCCTTTCCTTGGCCAAGCTTTCTCTTTGTCAGGAGTTTTACTTGGGTTGCAGCAATTAAGGCACCAGAAGTCATTAAAAACCCCAAACCGAGAGCTGCTTTAACCACCCGCCTGGGGATTTCTCCCAGCCATTAGGGTGTATTGCAGAGTACCCATCCAGCAGGATGACCCAGGAGACCCTGCTCCATGCCCAAAGGCAGGAGAAGGTGCTGGGTACCCACAGGGAGCAAGCAGCATCCCCTGTGCACAGCCAGGGGAAGGCACGGAGGCACCAGGCTCTACCAGCAGCTCATGTGGGGCTGCTGTGGGATCCCCGTGGGCAGGCTCCCAGTGGGCAGGGATGCGCAGCAGGAAGGACAGGTTTGGGAAGGAGTAGCTGTGGGAAGAGTGGCCTGTGCACGTTGCATATTAATGCTCCGCGTGCTTTAATTGCAGCAGGGCCTATCGCGCGGGGCCATTAGCATGCAATGCGGAGGAACACGTATTTTTTGGGATGCCTGCCTGGCTCGCGGGCTCTCAGCCACAGGGAAAGGGAAGGGGGGAGCTGTGGGATGCAGGGAGAGGTGTAACTCGTCCCCTCCCCGGGGACGCCGCTGGAGCTGCAGCTCCTTCCTCGAGCCCCTGATTCATCCCTGCTGCCATCTGCTGCACCCTCGCTCTTCCCCACAGATGTCCTTCTTCCTTCCCCAGAAGGAGATGAGAGCCGGGGACGAGGTGCCAAGCGCAGCTTCAAACAACATCTAATAAAACACGGGATTAATGTCTCCTGACTGGTGCTCAATGGCTCTGATTAAGCAGAGCAGGATTTAATTAGCTTGTTTGGACTGCCTCGAAACCCGTGCCAAAGGTGGGGAGTCTCAGCGGCTCATCCCACCGACCACGAGCCGATGGGGACCTGCAGGTCCTTCCCCTGTGGAGCAGAGCCCACTGCTGTCCCACCGGCTCCTTCGGGATTCCCCTGACCATCCTCTGCCAGCCCCTTGGCTGTGCTTAATCCCAGTGGCACCCCTGGGGCAGGCACGGCAGGAGGATGGGTGATGCGGGTACAGGCAGGTTGGTGGCCCTGCCAAAGGGGTGCTTCTGGCTTCCCAAGCTGCGTCTCACCCTCCAAACCCTGTGCCTCCTGGCACAAGCCAAACTCGCCCTGCCGCCAGCGAGTCCTTGAATGTAAAGTAACCCTGTTCTCTCCCTGATTTACTACCAGTTGCTGGCTCCTCTCCTCTCCCTCCGCCCGTCTCCTTTAACCCATTTCATTATCTATGCTAGCTTAGGCTTGTCTACGTGGGAACATCACGGGGAAGTTGTTGCAAAATAGATGGGCTGTGAATGTAAAGCACGGCTGCTATTCACCAGCAGCTCGGATTCCTCACCGCAATCCTGCATGAACCTCGGCTGCAGGCAGGCATTGCAAAGAGCAGAGCAGGAGCACCCATGTGGGATACAGCTCCCAGGCTATGGGGAAGGCTGGGACATGGTGCTGCATTCCCAGAGCCAGCACTCCTGGGATTTCCACAAACAGAGGTAGAAGGCTCCAAAGGGGAAGGCACCAAAGATAAGAGCCAAGGAGCACAGACAACTTGTGAGCCCCAAACTTGCACTCCTGGGCGTGGGTTGGACTCTTGAGGCACAGGGTGAGCTGTGCAAAGGCAAAACCCAAAGTGTTAGACCCTGTCACCCCATTGTCCTGCCAGGGTCACCTCTGCCCACCTCCAACCAGTGCCAACCACTCTGGGTGAGTCTGGGCTGCCTGGTCTTCACCTCCCATGCTGCTAGCATCCACCTCCCTGCAAGGGACATCCCACCCCAAGCAAACCAGCACACAGGAGCTGTGGTGCTGCCCAGCCTGGCTCCTACCAGTGCCGGTGTCTTTGCTGTGCTGCGTCTGATCCTGCGCACTCCAGGAGCAGCTACGTGGGGACAAGCAGGGCACCGGCATGGGGTGAGGGTGCTGCAGGGGGTTACTGATAAGTGGTGCCTGTAGGTCTCTTACGGAGATAGAACAGCAGAGACACCTCCCCAGGGGGTTCCTGTGTGTCTGCACATCCCACAGACAATGGGATGGTGCCTGTCTTGGGGTTTCCTTGATCATCCCATAGGGATGGGCTGTGAGCTGCACTACCCACTGCCCGGTGCCATCCGTTCTCAAGCGAAGGGTCTCAGCCTTGCTGGGGTATCAGCGGTTGTCAACTGCCTCTGCAGCCAGGCAGAAACCCCTTTATCAACCACCTATCTGCAGTTTAACATCAGTGGTGGCCTTATCCCCTGCCCTTGCTGAGGCTCGCTTTAGGTGAGAAGCAGGCACCCAGCTGGTGTTATGGGAACCCAGTGCAGCCTCCTCGCCCTGTGCAGGAAGCGCCTTTGGGTCTTATCTCTCCCGTTTCTCCTCCAGGCTCAGTCTCTTATCTGTCACCTCTTCCCTCTGTCCCTTCCTGATAGGCACCACCGTCAGTGCCCCGCGCCAGCCCCTGCAATGGGCAGGAGCGTCCCTTTGGCTCTGTTTTCCTGGGATGCCCCATGGAGCGTGACCTTGGGTTCCAGAGCAGACGTTCCCCCTGCTGCCAGCGGCCCCATGGGTGCTTCCATCCCGTTGGATGCAGGATGCTGGGCTCACCCCCAGGCCATGGACCCTGCTCCCACACTGCACTGAG